TTAGGTGGGGGAATAAAATATTGCACTGCAGTATTAAAAGTACATAATTTATAAATAAATATACATACTTTGGGGGTGCTTGCTCAAAAAATGTTTAATGATAGGTGTGTGTGCTCAAAAAAGTTTGTAGACCACTGGCTTAGTGGACTGCAGTTGTACAGGCTTTCTACTGTTCTAGAAGCTTTTGTGCTTAATTTGCTTCACTTTGCTGTAGATATTGCCACTACTTTTCTTTCTTCCATTATTACTGCAACTGAAATAAAAAGTTTTGATGCAGTACACCATGAAGGAGGAATAAATAGAAAAGGAATATGAAGAATAATAGTGAGGTGTTAAGTACAGCCAATTAACCTGCAAAATTTGTGTGCAAAATGGAGTTTGAATATGAAGTAAGGTATATTTTACTTCTCAGGGTATATGGAAGGCAGTGGGAATATTGGTAGGTTGCCCAGCGCACACATAACCACTCTGGTGCTTTCCACCAGAGCAGCTACTCTTGCTCCCCATGAATCATTTCTTGCCTAATGCAGAGAAGCTTCATAATTCACCCTTCCAGACCTTCCCAGAGAGATTGGTAAGAAAAAAAAAAACATCACAACAAAACCACAAAAAAACAGTAGTCTTTTCCACTAGGAATGGTTCTTCTCATTTCTGTCTTTCCATAATTAGAGAGCCCCTGACTCCAGGCGTATGAAGCCAGGAGCACAAACATGGCACCAAGGCAGCAACTATAAGAGGAGCATTTCGTGCTTGGGAATGAAGGGTAACATCATTCCTTTGGGAGGGAGGCACCTCTGTTTTTGTCAGGAAAGCACTTGCTATCAGGACTGTTAAAGCTTAGTTAATAGTGTCCTTATTGTGTAATTATAACAGATGCATAATAATAATGTTGATTTTGTAGTGATCAATATTTTAAAGTATCCAGCCTGCTAAAATAACATCCTTCACTGGGAGCTGGGCAACTTTTTACTTTTTTTTCATTTTGTGCAAGTTGTTTGTCAAGCATTCATTGTTTTCTCTATTCTGGATACATAAATTAGATCATGCTGGTTCATCTTTTCCTGATACGTGTGATTTAATAGCAGCAACTCAATCTTGGTCTTAACTCTCATTTGTTGACCTAGAAACTGTTGCCTCTAATTGGGAAATGTTGTTGTAAGGAAATACACAGCACAGACTGAGCACTCAAAAAGATGAAAGCTGTTTCTCCTGAAAGCTTGCCCTCCAACACTAGTCAGAACCCTAGATAAAATCAGGGATTAGGAAGGGGAGAGCAAAGCAGAAATAACCCTCTGTCCTTTCATTCTGGGAAGGAGTGCGGAAGTGCTGCGAAGAAGCAGAAAGGAGCAGATTATACAGCTGCCTGTAAGACAGAGTACAGGAAAGCACCTTTGCTGCTCTGATCTGAAAGTGGGTGGGAGCTGCTGCCCAGAGGCCAGATTTAGTCTCAAGCCATCGTTTTAAAAATTGCCTGCATTCCATTTCAGTCCCCTCACGAAAGATATTAAAGCCTGTGGAGTGTGTGCATCGAAGTGCAACCATGATAGTTTGTTTATGAGGAACAGCTAAAAAGGGTGATCCTTCTTGCACTGAGATAAAGAAAATGCTGAGATGCCTTGAGACGCCCTTATTTTAGAAAAGGGCTGGGAATAATAAAATCAAATAAGCTCTTTTTAACTTAAAGAAAGGTTAAGATGCTTGTTAGAATAAATATCAAGCCATTCACAGCTGCTTCCCTTTTGAAGAAGGAATAAAGAAATAGATGAAGCTTTATTTATATTTTACAGCATTTCCCGGAGGTGTAAGATTATTGAATAAATAGTCTTATTTACTAGATCTAGTCTTCTGAGATGCCCATAAAAGGCTTCCTTTTATATCTCCTGAGCTCTGGTTTTAAGAAAATAAATCTTTAATAACATAGCATGGTAATTATTAGCTGGCATGGGAAGAGTAATCGTTCCCATTAGTTTGAACTTGTTTGAAAGTGGTACGAGAGGACAAAGCAAGGCATGATAACTCAATATGGAAGGCAAAAAGTAAAAATTATGTTGTGTCTTGGTGTAGGACTGCACACCCTCAAATGGAATGTGTCCCTGCCCATGCAGGAGGGGTTGGAACTAGATGATCTTTGAGGCCCCTTCCAACCCAAACCATTCCATTTCATCCTTCTGCACAGTTTGATGGGCAAGCAGGGAAGTGGGGAGCACACACCATCCCCTGCAGCCAGGCCAGTGCCAAGGTGAAATCCCTCAAAATGGCACTTGGATATAATTTTCTCTATGTAGCCAAGGAACCTGGAGGATCAGCTCCCACATCTCTGCCAGTGCCATGGCCACATAGCTGTTGTCAGCGAACTGGCCAGGACACCCCTGGAGTAGGGTGAGTGGCTGCATGGTAACATCACCTACTGCAAGCCACTTCTCCTAGGGATGCCCGGGGTGCAAAGTGTCCCAAAATCCTTCTCAGAGAAGCGTGGACGTGCATCAGGCAGCATCAGGCTCCTGTTGGTTGCACAGGCTGCTAGCTTAGCCTGGAAAGAGCTTTTGAAGCTGAAAGCAAAATCAGTTCTCAACTCAGATCAGGTGAATTAAGCTTTGGACCAGCAGTATTTTGGTGTTCTATAAATCACAGGATTGTAGTTTGCTAATTTTACACAGGAAGTTGTAATTTTACTAGGAATTTGTACCATATCAACAGGAGGTTAAACCTTTTGTTCAGATTTTCTTGGAAGATATTGTCAGCTGATCTGTAATATTTTTGATGCTGTATAGAAGTAAAGGAGACTTTTTCTACAATGTGAAGTTGTGTATTAGATCATGTATTTGGTTATATTAGGTGCTGACTTCTTTACAAGATTTAGTCATTTATGTTGTAAACCAGCACTTGATCATCTTTCCTTTTGTTGTAAATAATTAACCATCAAGTATTTGACATTTAAGAACAAACAGACAATAACTTTAAAATGGGAACTAAGGTGTCTAATATTTTTTCCCCTTCATTTACATAGTTTCATATGCTGGAAATTATTTATGATGGTAAGTCTGATTGATTTTTCAGCCTCCACTCTGACATTCTTAAAATTACAGTCATATTCCCTTCAGGGAAAGAATAATACATATTTTCCCTGAACTAGCAATCTTTTCAAGTTCTCTTGCTTTTTCTTCCAGTGCAGTGCTATAGTTGTTGGCAGGTGAGGAGTTGCCAAGAGGTGAACTGACATAATAAAAGTCAGGGGTCAGCCCATGTGTAGGAAAGAAAGAGGCTGTCAAGAAAACAACTTAACCTTTTTTATGGAAACCCTCTGATTGTACCTTTGTTGAGAACAACGCAGTCCTATGGTCTGTTCCTGCTTTGAGAACTGAAATAAAAAAGGAAACCCGAAAAGGTTATACATATGGCAGAATGCTTGTCATTGGCTGGCTTAAGGGTAGACTTGTTTTTTTCTTTCACTTCCAGTGCTATCTGAAAAGAAAGATTGTATCCTAATGATTTAGCAGTTTATATCTACTTTTCCTTGAGTCAGACAAACTGAAGCCTGCAGCTTATTTAATAAGCCAAGAGGTGTTACCAAATGACACTATCAGTAAAACACATTTTCTGTGTCCATTCACACCAGGTATTCTGTACTGTTAGTTCCAGGTTCAAAAATAGAAGTTCAATAGCTTTGAAGGTTTTATATCAAAGGAAGCTGGTGTTTAAATACTCTGAAACAGAAGAATACAACTGTAGATTCCAGTTTTTCATTCTTCTCTCTTTCCTTTTTTAAACTGAAGACTGGATTCCTTTTACAAAAGATTAACTACAGCTTCTAAACTAATTTCAGAATTATGGCCATGATAAGCCTTTTTCTTTTTAAAGTGGCTTGCATCAAGTTTTGCTTTAAATAGAAACTGCCCATTCATGGCATTAGCAAATTTATTTGTAAAAAGAGTCATGTTTCTCAGTTTTTAATGGAAGTTTGTCTGGAGAATTTATCTTAGGAGAGTTCTAGTATTAAAAAGAACAAACTTTGGAATCATAAAATCACTATTGGAGAGGCAAGAGTTTTGCAGATTTCAGTGTGAGAACAGACTGTTTCATCCATGAAAAAAAAAAAACACTTTTTAAATGGATCATTTTGCAAAACAGAGGTTTCAGTTTTCGGTGATTCCTCAGACCCTGAGAGACCATCCTTGTCATCTGTGTATTCCTGTTGCACTCATCCGCACAGCTTACGTGCATCCAAACATGCCTTTCCTGTGAGAAACCTTCAGAGGACAAGCACTGAGGGTGCATTTGGACCCAGGGATGTTGTGGGGAGGGTATGAGCAGCAATTTCATGGTAAGGTGCTGGAAGAGCAAAATACAAGGAGCTTTACAACTGATGGGATATAGAGGGGTTTCAATTTTTATTTTATTTTTTTGTTTTAGTATTTTATGCACGATTATTTGCAAATAACCAGGTTTGAGGGGTTTTTTTTCTCTGTATGATTTGACTATCTTCCCAGTGCTTGCAGAATAGGTTTGTAGAAGAGGTGGGCTACATTTCCTATAAAACTTACAGCTGGAGCATGAATATTTAAACTGCAGCAATGGAGGTCAGCTGTTCCCTTGGTCTCTGACTTAATTACTCTTCCACAAATCCAGAATTCACATTTTTCATATTTCATTTGTATTCCACTTGCAGTAAAACTGTGGGTATTGTTTTTTCTGTATTTTCCATTAACTACATTTACGTAAAGATCATATAAATATTTTACAACCCCAGAGTAGAATTGCATATCCTAATACACACAGAGCTCATAGCACCTGTTCCACAATTTTCTTCATTGATTGCATTGAGTTGAGAAGGAGGATGTAATTCCAAGAAGAGCAAGGATAGTAAGATCTACATGAATGTGATCAAAGTCTTGCAGCTCTAAGAGCAAAATGCAAATTAAAGGTATATTATTTTTGGTTACACTGCCATCTAGTGATACCAAGAGTCAATGTCTACTTTCTTTATATTTTGTTTTCTAAAGATCAGCATCTTCATGACACATTTGTCTAATTATGGAAACGACCGCCTGGGGTTATACACCTTTGTGAATCTGGCCAACTTTGTGCATACTTGGACAAACCTGAAACTGCAAACTCTTCCTCCAGTGCAGCTGGCTCACAAGTATTTTGAACTGTTCCCTGAGCAAAAGGACCCTCTCTGGCAGGTACGCAGGCTTGCTGATAAAGAGATAAGAAGAAAAAAAACATCATCTTGGTGGTGATTTTTGTGAAGTTCTTTGTTTCAGTTTCTTGTAGAGAAAAGTAGTGGTATTTTTAGATGTATTAGTTTGTTCTATAAAACAGCTTCCTGAAGCTTCAGGGAACATGATAAGATTTCCCCGTCACTTGAATCTCCATAGATCAGCTGTGAAATTAATGTGTTGAGATGTGTAATTAAAAATCTCTTTAATTCATTGTATTTGTGACCTAACTTGCTTTAAGAAATGTGGGAAGTGCAGAAAAGGAATGTTGTGTTATTTCTCTTCTGCTTTTGGAACTAACAGGAATTAAGCATTTGACAGAGAGATGCAGATGCATATTGTAGCAATTGGCCTTTAAATGAACAACCTTTTTTCCAAGAGTGTGAGGGCATCCAAAAAGAGTAAACAGCATGAAGACCATGGCTACCCTAATGCTAAATCTGACTAGCCATGAAGAAATAGATTAGATAGATTAGAAAGTTATTCACAAACAGCTGAGAACTGCCCAAGCAAGACATTTACCAGCACTTAATTACTTGATGTTATCAGCTCTGCTGCTTGATTATCCCACTCTCTGAGTACATTGAAAATACCAGGAATGTGAAGACCTGCTAAGGATGAAGCCTCCACTGACCTTGCAGTTGACTCATCTTCAGCCCATCACACAGTGCTAAGAGCACAGTCCCTAAAGAGAAACTGCTGCACCAAATGGTGAAGCTTGTCCTTTCTGCACACACTCTGCCACAGTTTGACTAATTCCATGGAATGTCCAAGTGCTGTATATGCATGAGTCTCTGCAGTGATAATACGTATCCCAAATAAAATCCTCTTGAGGTGACTTGGTGGAAACAGTCTAGGGAGCAAGCTTCACTAACTCAAATATAAAACTGTATTTAAGCTTGCTTACTCTAATGTTTTCTAGCATTTGATACTGAATTGCTAACTTAGAATCTAAGTGTGAGATTGCAAATTTCGACTTAAATACACATCTTTAAATTTGTGTTGTTATTGAATAAAACATTGAACTAGGGGGAAAATGTCAAGAATTTTGCATAATGTTAAGAGAAATTAATTTTAAAAATGGAAATAAGCCTGTAGCCAAATCACTTGAAAAATTAGTTACTTAGAAAAGACACTTGTAAGTAACAGTGAGGAACATATACTGAATATGGCACTTTTGTCTGTAATGCATGGGAATCTGAATACAGTTACATTTTTTTTAAGCCTAGATGACTGGCATTTCCCTTTGTCTCAGTGCAGTACTGCCTAAAAACAGTGTCAAAAACTGTTTGCAAGTAGCATTTCTAAACCAAATTTAAACTGCTTCAGTTGTAATGCAGCAAATTAAAAAAACAAGGTTCAATATTATGTACTGACTTGAATTAGAGCATCAGAATATGTATTTCTGAGTGGAAAGCCTCAAATTATAATTAATTTACTCTTTTAGTTTAAAAACTAGAGGATGTATAGAGTGTTAGCTATTACAGTAATGTAAAAGACCAAGTCAGTAATTAGAGAACTCATTAGCAATTTTCAGCCTTTCTAATTTGTATGTAATTGATTAATTGATTTTGAATCATTCCCACATCCTAAATATGTGTCTTTGGCATACTGACTTTTCATAGGAGAAACTAACTTGTCCCAGGGCAACTGGGGCAATTATATATATGTAGGAAAGTGTTGGAATGAAAACCATATTATTCAATGTACTTTCTCATTAAAAACAAAAACAAAACAACAACCAAACACTTGAGATACAATTTCTGGACTGGTTACAATACCTTTTTGAATCACTGAAATAGTTCTTTAATACATAATGTGGTTGTTTGTCATAGGAAAAAAGTATTTTCTGGTAAGAATATTTGTACATTGGGGGGAAATTGGTGATTTATAGAAACATAATTTGAGAACCTTATAAGGTGTGATTGACCTTGAAATTCTTACTAGTTCTTCTCCATTTTAGAATCCGTGTGATGACAAACGGCACAGAGATATCTGGTCTAAAGAAAAAACCTGTGATCGGTTACCAAAATTCTTGGTTGTAGGACCCCAGAAAACTGGTGAGATTTTATTGTACTTCAACAAGATAGGCTATTGATGACTTCTTACTCAGACTGCTGTGTATAGATCTGCATCATCTCATCGCATTTTTTCGTTATCATATGTCACCCAAATATAGATTAAGAATGTAAGTTACCACAACAGACACTACACATACTGAAAATGAAGTGTTCAGGTGTGTTTGATTCATTTTCTTTTTGCGTTATGCCAAAATTATTAACACGTTGATTAAAGAATCAACAAGATTGACAAGTTGTTGTCAAAGCAGATGTAGGAAGGGACAGCCATTTTTCAAATGCTGTAGATTGTTCACTGCAGGTTTTTGGCTGTTCTGTAAGTGTCTTGTTTATAAAAACTTGTTATTTCATGGTTTTTATTTCAAGTCAAGAACTTCCTAATGGACAGTCTGAATTGCAGAGTTGCTATTTATCAGTTAATCGCTTAATCAGTTAAGCAGTTTATCAGTTAATTTAGTGGTTAATTTTATTCTCTGCAATCCAAAGACTGTATGTGATTCCTTTCATCTTCACCCAGTAGCTACCGAGTGCAAGACTTAAATTATTTCTGTGACAGTCTTATAAAACCCAATAATTATTTTTAAAACACAGTTATTAAAAATGTGAAAAACAGATCTCAGTACTGACAGTACAGTTTCTGTGTTAACTATTTACATTTCTTTAAATGTTTTCAATTTAAAACCATAGGAAGCACAGGTTCTTAGATGTCATAAACCAGTATCACCTCACTGAAATTAAATAGAATAAAGCTGGTTTAGTCCATCTGCAGATATGACCCCCCAAAAAATGTGTATGTGTATTTTTTTTTTAATCTTGGCTCTTACTCTTTTTGCAGGTACCACAGCCTTGTATTTGTTCTTGATCATGCATCCTTCCATCATTAGTAACTCCCCCAGCCCAAAAACCTTTGAGGAGGTACAGTTCTTTAATAGAAATAACTACCACAGGGGGATTGATTGGTAAGATGGGTTATTAGTATAAATATAAAAGTTTATATATTGTGAACAATAAAAAAATGACATTACTGTTGGTAATGGTAACTGTTTATCTATAGAGTGAGATAAAAAAACCTTCAGTGTCCTTCTAACGTGATAGATAAATGTAAGAATAACGATGTTACTACATAATACCATAAATGTACTATTTTGTGTGAGGCTTTCTTGTGAATAACCATATATTGATATATGCAAAACGGTAACAAAATATGTATTTCTCTTTACACATTCCTTTGAAGTTGGGACAGTAATGGTGGTTAGTGGGATGCATGGAGGCAAAAAATATGTTCCTGTCAGAAATCTTACTTCTTAAATAGAAACAGGTAATATCAGGGAGAGGCATTTTTTCCTTTAGATAGGCTTTATAAATAGCAATTAGGTAAAACGGGATCAGGGAGAGCCTCTCAAAATGTTTTTCAAGTATCAGGTAGTTAGGAGAAAGTTAGTGGCTCTGTAGGGCTGGTAAATGGTGCTCAAAAAGAGTGTGTCACTGCTGCCATGTTGTGTTCACTGGGCCTACCAGAGCATCCCCAGACAAAGCTACAACCAGAAGGTCATTCTTGATGTCTCTTGCTCTCAGAAAGTTCTGTAGCATATAGCATTACAAGATGAAAAGCAGTAACGTGCTGTAGTGGCTGGGGAGCACCACTGAAAGATTATTGATATTTTGTCTTGTTTCTTTTCTTCCCACCAGTTAAAGGGAAAATAGTTTGATTGCTTTTGTCTTTGTATTCATCCATAAAATTAACAGGGTGAACACTGTTTTATGGTCTTAGTGCAGACACATCAGATCCAATTTCTTTTCAAGTCAGTTTTTACAGAGTTATAATTGCTGCAGCAGATTCTTATTCCAAAGTGTGGTGAGTCAGCCAGATATTGCCAAAAGAGATGCTGGCTGAAGGACTGGAAATCACAAAGCTGACTCCTTGCTGTGGAGCCTGTTGGAGTCAGTGAAGATGACAGGCAAGCGAGGCATAGCGGGTCCACTAATGGAAACAGCCTAAGCACAGTGAGCCAGTTCATCCACAAAATCAACATGTTCATTTTGCTAGAAGACCACTGTGCTGCCTTTCTCATTCCTCCTGTCATATCCACTTCCATAACATGCAGATACAATTAGTCTGCTGGACATCTGCCAGATTACCTTCATCTTAATCCAGCATTGGTGCCTAAGGCCCCAGGGGTTTATAGAGGCCAGGTAGATCCTTTTGACAGATTCTCTCTCTACAGCACTCATTTGGGTATTTGTACCCCTGTGCCACATGCCCCACTCACCCCTGCCAGGTTCTCACAGTTAAGTCTTGGGATACTCAGAACTACCAGTTGGGCTAGTTGCTTAACTCTTAGATTTGCATTCTGTCTGCCAGATAGATCTCTCAGACCTTCAGTCTGATAGCACATTTTAATGCAGGCATGTAATGAGTTTACCAAATGGTAATTAGGTACAAGGCCTCTCCTCATTAGTCCATTAATTGGCTAGGATTCTTTCAAGGAAAGAGTATTCACAAATAGCAATCAGCTCAATTTCTTTTATGGTTGTGGAGATATAGCTTTTTTTCCCAGAGCTGACTCTGCCTTAGTCTTTGTTCAAGCTTACATTTAGACCAAAGCTAACCACAGGAGCAGGAAAGGTTTCTTTCAGCCCTTGGCAACCTCAATGCTGCTGTCTTGAAAGAGGTGTAGATTTGTATTGTAGTATTCCAGCAGAGAGAACAGAACAGCAAGATGGGAACTGATCTTTCTGGTTTTGAAATGAAGTCTAAATAGACCAGTCATGCATTTCTTTATGTAAGCGTTGTGTCAGATTTCTTTGAAATGTCTCTTAAAGCCTTCTCAGCTTTGCTCTTGTCAAGTTTATTGTCTCATGAGTGAGATACTAAGCAAGAGTTCTGCAGTCTGTGTTCAGCAGAAGCGCTAAGCCTAAACTTCACAACCTTCTCCAATCTCTATAATTTTTCACTGACACACCATCAACTTATTTCAAATTTCCGAGGTTATCTAAAGAATCAATTAACTTTTTCACCAAATTTGGTGTTAAGTTTTTCCTTAGAAGGTTGGAGCCCTCATTGCCTTGTGTTTACTTAGTCTACTACCAGAACTTCAGTACTGGCCAGAGCTGGCCTTTTTCTTTGCTATTGATGCTCTGGTAAATCACTCTGAGGTAACAGTCAGGTTGGGTCATTAGTTTCTAATATTTTTAATTTTTTTTGTGAGCTTCATCATTTTTATCAAATCAGCCTTAATATTTTTGGGAAATAGGGTCCATTGTTGAATGAAACAGTATCATATTCTCAGATACTTGTGTTAGCATTAGGCAGATGTAAACACTTAATAAACTAGCAGGGCAGTGACAGCCTTTCATTCCGTTCTGAGTGATTATCCTCTAATTTCAGCTTTTTTACATACAATCTGCATGTGAGACTAGCAATAGCTGTGCAGCATTTAGGTCTCACTGATACAAGGTTATCTACCTGCTGCTACTGTTAAGACCTTGAATGAATCCACAATTTAACTTCTTAGAATGAGGTGTCACAGTGTACAGTTTCTTTAAGCCACTGTGGGTTCCTTATTTTTCTCTTAAGTTCCTCAGAGTCAGTGCCTGCGTGCTAATCATCATCATCTTGTGAGCTCTGTGCCCTAAAGAAAACTGCGTGTGCATCAGCCAGTTCTGTCCTACTGAGTCTTACTGACCTTGGTGGCAATGGTCACAATTTCAAAGCCAATAAAACATGTAATTTGGGTTAGAAGTAGCTCACTGTTATCAATAGAACAAAATCTAAGCACTGAAAAAAATTTCAGTCCTTAAGCACCATCTTCAGAAGAGTTTATTTTAAATGGCATTTATTTTATCAATGCAAAGTTTAACTGAAAAATCAAGAAGACAGCCATGTCCCATTTACTCTGTTCCCCAGCAATAATGAAAAGTAGTCTGAAGGCTATGGATAAAGAAGTCTGTATGTGACATAGGAGATTGCTAGAAATTAGCTGCAACTTCATAACAGATAAAGAAAGCTCACAAAGAAAACTAAAAAGAATATAAGCCACATTTCCACAAAATGTGACTCTTAGAACAATAAGTGAAAGATGGAGTCACTGCTTAGAAGCCTTTTACCAGATGAAACTGTGGGGAACGTTTTCAGTGAATCTTCCCCACATAAGTGAGCCCTTTTCTCTTTTGAATAAAAGCAATTCTGACACAGTATCTTTTTCTTAAGGTATTGCACTGTAATGGATGTCAGCAAAAAGATGAATTTGGAAAAATCACTGTCTAGTTTTGACTTTAATAGGATTTTGTTATGGCTGGGAAGTGAGAATGCACTAATTTTAAGAAGATACATGATTTTTGCGACATTTTCATCCAATTGACAAAAAACAGCTGCAATGTCTTATTATATGTAGTGAAAGAAAGATCATGCCAAGTAAAATATGATGGAAAATACAATTAAAACTTCTGTTTGCTTTTATTTGGCTATTAGGCTATTATTTTGATTGCTTATTCTAGAATAAAATATACTTAATGGATTTTTCAGCCTTTGTGTGTCTTATAAGTAATTCTGAGAATGATGTTGCTTTCCTAGGTACATGGATTTCTTCCCCACTCCTTCTAATGTCACCACAGATTTCCTCTTTGAGAAAAGTGCCAACTATTTCCATTCTGAGGAAGCTCCTAAGCGAGCTGCTTCCCTCATCCCCAAGGCTAAGATCATCACCATCCTCATTGACCCATCCGATCGGGCGTATTCCTGGTATCAGGTAGGCATTTGGAAGAACATGGGCAGACACAAATCAAGGTTCCCACTTTGAATCCTCTTTGTCTGACCTTTGAGTATTTATGTATGTAAAGGTTTTGGAAAATACAAAGTCAATGCACCATAGAAGATTACCCATGGGCTGAGGTAGCTGTCAATGTAGACGTGAAAATCTTTCAAAGGGTAAAATACCAGAAACCACCTTTTCAATAGTCTGCCTGTAATATCAACATATAAAAATGCTTCCTTATTTGATTAACTTATCCAGTCAGCCCACACAAAAGCTAGTTTACCAACACAGTTATCTAGTTCATACTCAAAATATAAAATAGATTAAGAAATGTTTGTTCTTCTGGTCGACAAATTTCATTAGGCAAAATAAAGATATTAAAAATAATTTGATAGAGAGAGAGAGAGAGAGAGAGAACATTCCAAAGATAAAAAAGTTCTTAGAACTTCTGTGACATATTTTGTGCTTTTTATGATGAGTAGTAAGCTCGACTCTGAGTGTTATCCCATATCTTATCATCCTTTGGGTAGGAGTCTTGACTGGAGACCTACTGAGATCCCTTCTGAGCTGAATTAGCCAATGATCCCCATAAATACCAGTGTTCAAATTTGCCTTCCTGCGTATTTACCTTTTGTAATCTCGAAAAAGAAAATACAAAACAACTAGAAACAGAGCTTCTTAATATTTTGTTTATTATGCCCAATTAATTTGTACAAAACCTGCTACTCAGTTTATTGAAAGTGAACTTTTATACATTCTGTTTTGTTATTGCTAGTTTCAATCTAGTTTCTAATTTCTTTTGATATGATCAGGATTCATTGTTACAAACAATATCCCAGCATTTTCAACAGATTAATACAGATGAGGACTTCTTAACTTTGAGTACATTTTAACGTAAATAATCAGTCATGGCAAGGTCAGTGAGGCCAGGTCATTAAGACCAACCAGTTTGGTCTTATTTTCCCAGCTTTTGTGGTCTGTAGAATTTCAGCAATGTAACTTCTTTTACAGCATCAGCGATCGCATGAAGATCCTGCAGCTCTTAAGTTCAGCTTCTATCAGGTGATCACAGCTGGACCTCGAGCCCCATCTGAGCTTAGAACTCTCCAGAAGAGATGCCTAGCACCTGGATGGTATGCTACCCATATTGAAAGATGGCTAACTTACTTCCCCCCGTATCAGGTGAATAAGACTGTAACTTGACATCCTAATCTTACATATATAATATCTGAAAAGGCTGCCTTTGTAATAGTCTTGCCTACTGCATACCGATCCTCAGAGGTATCCTAGGTATATTAGAGCATGTTTTAAGACATTGATTATGATTATTCATAGCCATGTTCTAAGTGGTTGGTTGACATTGCTAGGAATGTCATGTCTTAGCACCTTCCAGCTGGGAGCTTGTTCTGCAAAACATATCAGAACAATAATCAGGAAGCTGAACAAAAGTCACTGCTGCTCCTTGAATGCTCTTATACCCTGAGCTGCTTTTAACTTAAAGCTGTTTTTCATTTGTTCATGCTTCATCACTTTATGTCTGGCTGTTTGTTGGTAATGTAGAGGAAATGAGAACTAGGCATGCAGTGCTTTATGGTCTCTTCAATATCAGATGGCCCATCAGGGTTCCCAAAAGAAAAATTGGAGGAAAATAAGAAGAAGCTGGTCAATAATAGATCTGTCTGCTCTGAGTGGTAGCAAGCATCAGCTAGCTTGAAGGGCAGTCAGCTGGGATATTGCCCTCCCTGCTTGGACTGAGAAGAGTTTTGGTGTCTGAACACTCTGGAGTGTGAAAAAAACCCTTTTGATCAGAAATGCAGATTACCACATGGAAATGGACATGATCTAGGGGTTTTGTAACACAAGATTTATATGCATCAGTGTCTTCACCCACTTCTTGGTCCTTTCATGCAGTAATCTCCCACTCTGACAGCCTCCTTAGGCTGTGATTGCAGCAGTAAATAAACCTGTACCTGTGGAAGATCACTCACTGTCCCACTGCTGGCCATAACACTTGATCTTTTAACACGCTTCTGGCACAGTTTGGACCCATAGCAAAAAGCATCTTGCCAAGCAGATCCAGAGCACAGTTAAAAAGATAAACAAGAACCATTCATTACTACTAGGGAGTGTGGACACAATCAATTTGGTTTTGCAGACGAGAGAGTCTAGCAACATGGATCCAAGTCATGCTGTGCCATTTGGCCTTGAAACCAGAAAGTTGTCCCTAATTTTTTTTAGGTAACAATGTAGATTAAAGCCTTTGTGTACATCAGCGTGTTTGCCAGCCCAGGCCTCACCAGTTTTTTAGATGAATTCACATTTTGCCAGACAACTTTTCTGTAACTGTCAACGCACTGGGTCTCTTGCAGAATTTGTTTTTGGAAATTTGTCATACATTGCTGCCCGTAACAGTGCATCCACATGTCAGAGCCTCTACTAGGACTCATTCATGCCCTGAAACAGTTTGACACATTGGTGTCATAATCATCTGTGTTTGGTAACTGTCAGTGACCCTGAATCCCCAATGTATTCTTTATGCTAAGACCAGTTTCTCTGTGTGTCTTTGAGCCTTAAAGGGTATGTGTTTATGGGTCCATAGGTTTCAGTACAGGTGGCACATAAGCAACCTGGATACTGAGTATCCCCACAAGCTTTTGTTCATATATCATACAAATCATTAGCCTCCTTCTGGCCCTGCATAAGACCCAGCAGACAATATCACATGATCAGTATCTCCTTGGAAGATTTACTTCTGGAATGAATTTTTCTGGCATTAGCAGTGTGCCTGGCACTGTTCCCAACCCAACATTTAAAGATTACTTTTGCTCTGGGAGGCTGGCTGCTATCTGAACCTTCTGTTTATCCAGGACTTGCTTAGCTGAGACAAGTTGGCTGGAGTCTGCACCTTCTGTTTTCCCAGAGTGTGCCAAGGAAGCTCTGATGCATCTAGTTGGTGTTACTCTCCACATGTCCTCTCTTGAGCCAGCCTCGCACACTTCACGAGATACACAGTAATATCATGATACTCATATGAAATTCTCTACATTATGTTTTCATTAGCTTTTTTCCAAAAGTAAGCTATGAATATTGAACAATATGCACTATCATACAGATTTTTGCCAGACCTTGCATCCCACAATGAGAGCGAAGAACCAGCCCTGGTAGCCTTGTGTTTTCTCTGTAAAAGTACTAGGGATTAACAGGCATTGCCAAAGCAACAATATACAGTAGGCCATAGCCAAACTGGTTTGCAAGTTCAAGGAACTGCTGAAGCATAAAACAGTCACATAAGGCAGACCTAAAATTTGCTCAGCTTAAAAATACAGCCTTAACTAAAACAGTAAGAGCCTCACTTTGCTGAAAGAGCTCTCACCCAGACCAGCTAAGCCTATCTGTAATTTTTAATGCTGTATAAATTTGGGGGTCTCTGCATATGTCACTGTGTCTTAATGTCCATTATGAAGTCAGCAGCTATACAGTAAGTGGTAGAAGTAGCAACAGGAATAGGTAAGGTTCCCCTTTTCGTTACAACAGTTGTAAATTACTTTGTAAAAATTACACTGTTGAATTTTTCCACCACACCGACACATTAAATGTCTCGGATTTTGAGGAATTTAATAAAAATACATCTTCCTCAGATCATTATATTAATAAATCACTACAAGTAAAAAAAAAAATTGCCTCAGCTCCTTACAAGCTCCCTGAAGGTTGAGGGGGAACATTTTTTGTTACCTATTCCCTGGGAAGGTCAGGAATTGCAATAAACTGGTAAAATGTTTTCTTGAATGTCTTTTTTTTTGTGTGTGTGTGTGCTGCAAGAAGTGAGAATGGCACAGCTATTTATCCCTACAAGGTTTTTAGATAGTGAAGGAAAAAACCCCTCCCTCCTTTTGTTTCAGATGTAAGAACTGTAACTGTGTATATGGCTAAGGACTTGAAAAGAAGAAAAATAAATTACCTACGAGTACCTGGCTTTCTTAGAGGTGTTGCACATTCTGTATCTATCCCTGCCATAGGGTCACAACATCTGCCTTTATTTATATTCTCAAATAAGTTTGTGTTCATTCAGTTATGTATTGTTGTATGGGTTTAGAAGTAAGGCATTTCACCTAAAATCTGCCTACTGGTTTCTATCTTCCTGGTAATTTCCAGTGACACGCGTTTCAACATTACTTTAACATATATATATGTATATGTTTACGTCCATGAGAATTACAGTTTATTTCTCTAGACATTAATACTTTTTTTCCTTGGCTGGACAAATCTCACTCACTTTCCTGCCCATAATTCTTATCTTTCTAGATACTTCACTGATGTTTCTCTGTTGTTACAACAGCTTCCAATCTAAGATTGTTCCAGATTTAATTAACATGCCATTTACCCTGCTTCCAGATTATTAGTGATGATGACAATTATAATTCTCTTGGGCAGTATTCTCCATATAATTAATGAGTTTGACAGAGGTGGAAGTTTCAGCTTGAAGCTTGAAATAATGAATTTTAGATTAAACTTCCATTTATTTTTTTTGTTGTAGTTGCTAATTATTGATGGACAACAGCTGAGAGCTGACCCGTCTGCCGTAATGGATGAAGTACAGAAATTTCTGGGAGTCTCTCCTCATTATAATTACTCTGAAGCCCTTACGTGAGTTAATTTAATCATCATTTTCACATGTTCCTACATTCCTAAAATACCAGTTAGTCTGTAAGTAAGCTCACTGCAAAAAAAGCCCCTCATACTTCTCCTTTGAGCTGTCAGTAGCTTCACTGTCTGCAAAGAACACAGTTCAGGGTTAGATTTTTTGTGAATCATTCCCTGAGTCACTCAATGTGAAGCTTGACTGTTCCAGAAGTAGAACTCTGACAAACAGACGAAGTAATTATTGCTGTGTGAGAATTGCCTATAAATTTTTGATGAATCAAAAGGCATTTCCTTAAGTGGAACAAGGAAAACTGAAATGCATAAATAGAAAGGAAAGATAATTAGTTTCTCTATTATTTTTTTTTTTACGTTAGCTGCAAGACAGATTCAATGTATTAGTCAGGAATGTAACATCCAGTCAGCGCATCATAAATACACACGTACACAAATCCTTTGGATTCTGACATTTAGATTTGGTTGCCCTTAAAATAAGACTGATAACCTTAAGTTTACTCTTTTGAGTCTTCAGTCTAATCCTGGGAGATGCATCCTCCTTGCAGTATCTCACAGCCTTTACCCTGCAAAATACGTTTCAGGTTCGATTCACATAAAGGTTTCTGGTGTCAGCTGCTGGAAGAAGGAAAAACAAGGTGTCTTGGAAAGAGCAAAGGTAGAAAATACCCTCCTATGGATTCTGAGGTAACCATTATGCTCATTGGCATTATAGAGGGATTCAGGGGCCACATATAGGACACCATACAGGTTAAAATACATGAAGGGAGAGAAGACAAAATTAGGTAGACCTTAATTATTCAACGAGCTGTCCCTACAAATGAAGCATTTAAGATAGCTGTGGAGTGCATAGACTTTTTCAGTTCTGTATTCCAAATGTGAAGAATTTCAGTCATTAAAAAAAACCCGACTTTTAAAACTTGGTATCCTGTAGAAAAATAAACTTGACACCCCTAAAATTCCCTTGGAAACCTATCCCCTTTACCTAAGGGACTTGAGCAGCAAAGGCTCCACAGTGCATGATTTTTTCTTAGTCATGATCAGGTATGTGTATTTGTGTCTGGTTCTTTGCCTTTAAGAGTAGTTAAACCATTGCAAGTCCCACAGACTCTCACTTAATTCAGTTTTAGGAGAGATTAGGTTCTGTTTCTATGAATTTATAAATACTTTTCTCAGAATAATGTGAAGAAATTTCCATTGGATCAAATGCTGCAGCCTATACCCAGGGGCAGTTGAGTCTCCTATTCTAGCTGTAGCTTTTATATTTATTCTGTCCTGTATTCCCATTTCATTTAGCCTGACTAAAATGCAAATCAAAACTTACAGTTTGAACAGCAGTAAGTATTAATGTGGCAAGTAAGGTCTGTTTTTTTCCTCACAGGACTTAAATTATAAATAACCTCACATCAATAGAATAATACAAAATAATTGGGTGAAGGCTTCTGTCCAGAGATAAGACAAGAATGCGTTTATTTTTGTATTTTTCAATTCTAACTACTTCTGAAAATGGGGTCACTAGTTGATACTTGCCTATATACTAAGATACTTCAGAAGCTTTGACTTCAGTCCCACTTCACTAAATTCAAAGTACCTACATCAGCTTCGGTGCAATTCTTAATTTACATGACTGTCTGAGAGTAGAATCAAATCCTTTGCTTTAACTTCAGTCTTCATTTTGGACAACCTTTGTTTCACTTTAACTTACCTTTTACAGCTCAGCTCCTAACTGAAGAGCGTGAACTTGCATGCAGTAGATAGCATAAAACGATACAAATTGTGTAAGAGAAAGTAAAGTTTTGACACAGGTAAAATAAACTTTGAAACCAAGAATTAACAGCAACTGCAGTACAGCATTTTATTAAAAATATCTTCTTTTGTATCCATCAGTGCAGGGCTTTCCTGTCAAGCTACTACAGAGATCACAATGTGGAACTGTCAAAACTCCTACACAAACTGGGACAACCTCTGCCATCATGGCTGAGACAGGAGCTGCAGAAAGTAAGATAGCAGTGAAAAAAAGGCTTTTTGAAATCTCTCTTCTGCACTTCAGTCATCATACCGAAAGTCTCCAGTAGCTACCTGAAGGACTTGTAAGATATACCTCTTTAAAAAAGTGTAAAAGATAGAGATTATTTCCATATGCTGGCATGTGGATTGTGAAAATATATGTGTTTCTTAGAGCTCTGGTAGGCCAAATCTTTCTCATAAGCATTTCTGGGCCTGTGGACTTGTGGGACTACTATGCACATACGTGAAAGTTATTTGCAACTGATAAAAGCTTCAGAGATACATGACCTGTCCAATTTCACGGTAAATATTTACATTTTAATATATCAGTTTAAAAGTATTGTGTCTCACTTAGGTTTTGTAGCCCATTGTTAGGCCACTGTCAGTTTTTCTTACTATTTGATTATTGTCTTGCATAAAATAAGAAAAACGAATGTAGCACAAAATGCCAAGTGTAGTTCTGCCTTTGGAATCAGCTTGCTAATACCCAAAGTATATACTAACAAGGGTGGGAAGTGTAGTTATCATATATGATTTAGCTGTGCACAGCAAGAAAATACACAGAGCAAAATCTGGAAGCAACAGGCAAAAGCAATGTAGAAAAACCCAAAACGTGACCTATGATTATAGCCTGTAACAACAAACCCTTGCAGTGTGGTACGGGCTGGTACAATAATTTGTCCATAATTACTATGTCTGATTTTGTCCTGACTGAAATGGCAAAAAATGAAATACAGCCATTATCTGAAGATAAATTTAATTGGACATGTGAAGCAGAAAAATTGCAGTATAATCCTCATGAGCAGTATTCTACTTGAACAGTTGTGAACCAAACCAATCTAGTGCAATGAACAAGCTTTCACTCCTGGCTTCAATGAGCAGCAGATCCAGATACTGCAATCTGGGTTGACATTGCTGTGAATGAGGAGTGACTCCACTGAAATGAATTAAAACCTTGTAAAGAGCAAAAACAAATTCATACTTAGATTGCCTTAATTTCCACCACCATTTTCCCCCCTTAATTTATTTGCCTTCAATCTATGCTTTATGTATTCCAAGATCCCTCAACCTGATCAAAATTGTGACATCTTTCAGTAACCTTCTGATTATGTCAGCTGCAAAAATCTATCATATTTCCAGATGAAAATACTGGCTCTGGTTCCAGATATTTTACATATGATTGGTATTCAATATTAGGAATAAGCTTTAGGGGAAAAAAATAAGCACAGTATTTAATCGTGGTAGAAAGTTACACTCTTAATTGTTGAAAACACAAATATCAAGCTTTACATTTAAGTGAGACATTTCAATAATACATCTCACAATGCATTAGTTTAGATGCAAGATAAACTCTAACTAATAGTACATAAAGTTGAGAAAGAAGATCCATGAAAACTCCAGATGAGTATGGCCTTAATGCTTCTCCACTGAACTTTGGCTCTGGGTGTTTCTAAAGGCAGGAAGAGACAGTGAAAACAAATGAGAACTACAATACTAAATGCAGTGCTTTTTACAGTAGCTCTATAATGTTATCTTAATTTGTTTCAGGGTGAATAGTTAAAAACATACATCAACTGGTGGAAAAACTGTATGTCTCAGTGCTGTTTTGCAACGTTTATGGAATCATATGATTTAACTTTCAAGGTAATGGAATGGAAACCAATCTCTATTCCCTAAATAGAAAACAGATGTTGAGATCCTTATGTACCTCTAACTGGTCATCTTTATTATTTATTGATTTTGTCTATGTAATACCTGGTTTTGATAGGGCTGTAAAGAAAAAAATTCTAGACAAATTTGCTGTATATAACAATATTCTTTATGCAGCACATTTTTGCTAAGAGAATATGCATGATTAATGGTGAGGACCTACTAGATTAGACATTTTTTGAGATTAACATCTTTATTATTTATTAGATGAGAATTTTCATTTCACTTTAAATATTCACTGTCATATGGATTAATCCCCAAAGCTGACTTGTCTTTAAAAAATTCTCATTTGCTTAAAAGAAACACTCTGTATTCTGAATATCTGTAAAAACAAATACTCTGCATGATATGGACAGCTCATGCATCCTGCAAGCATCTATGTGGATTTGTTACAGTTAAATTGAATAATTGGAGAAAATACCTGGGGTTTTCATCCTGGCATGATTGATTTTACCTTTGATGTAACCTCATGTAACATCACTCAAACATTTTTGAAAAATCCACAGGGGTTGCACAAAGCTCCTGTTTTGTGCACTGCTGCCTCAATTACTCCATGTTATTTGCGAGCAGCAATTATAAAATAGAAGACAATAGGAAAAACTTTGGGCACTATCAAATGCCTGAAGTTTTTATGGTGAGAGGGCCCTCTGCACACCAGTTGAGTGCCTCCTATGCGCAGGAGAAATGTTTCAGCCACATTCAGATTTCATTTCTTGCTTCCAAGAGCTCCCTTTCTGTCTTCTTTGGAAAATGAAGGCCCATGCACAACAAGAATGAGTGAGCAGTCAAGGACAGAATGGTCTGATTGTCACTGCAGAAATTTTACAACACAGAAGGTGACATGTCTCAGATCTGTGGGCTACTACTGTGAAGTCCCCTCTGAGGCAGAGCAAGGAGCCCCCTACAACTGTGGGTGATGTGGTGAAACATCTCAGCTGCAGTCACCATGTAGCACCAGGGGGAGCATAAGCTCCACACACGCACGGCCTTCACCTTGTGTTGTCAGCTAAACACAAAGCTTGTCCTCCAGGAAAGAGTGACGTGGTGACTCTCAAGTCCTAATGAGGAACAGCAGGGTGGAGGTCTTGGGTGGTCCCAGTGCCCTCTCTAACGGAGGGAGCTGGGAACAAAGTAAGTTCCTGGGGAAGTCTTCAATGGACTCCTGTACCTGAGTGGATCACGTTAATAAAGTAGCTTGACCTGGAACTGGGCATCTGATAGCACGTAATCTTGAATTTACATAAATCCAAGCTCCTGTTGAGCTGCAGCTGTTAAGCACCAGCATCTTTAGAAAAGGTGCTGTGGGTTTAGCTTCTTGTGCACCAGGCGGGCTTGTCACAAAAGCAACAGAGAAGTGAAGGCAAACTGCTGGTCAGCCTTGCAGTTCGGAATTGTTGATCTTCACTTGTTACTTGGTTATGCACAGCTGGTGTGAAGCCACTTCTTTTTCCTTCCAGAACTATTCTATTTAAATAGATTCTCACATTTAACAGGCAACTTTAAAAATTAGTATGATTTTTAATGTGCTGTCAACTTGGTGAAGAATGAAGAGTCTGAGCAAAGCGTGCGGGCAACAGCTGGATGTGTTACATCCCCAGTCGTAGGATGCACATGAGTACAGCAGGTCACACAACATTAATTAGCTGACAGTTTAACCTTTCCTCTTCACAGCTTACCTACAGTCAGTGTTTGATTTCCAATAATAGCCTGTCAGTTATTAACACTCTTAAAAAATACTGATGGATTACAAAGAATTTATATTTGTTAGTCAGTGTCAGATGTTTTATTGTGCTGGTAACAGCCATGGTTTCTGTTCCCCTGGTAGATAACTGCACAGGCAATTTCTGTTACAATTGCTTGTTATGGGAGCTTCACCTTTATTTTCATAAATATGATTCTGAAATTTGCTTTCTGCAGATGTCTGTGCCATTAAAAATCAATGTGTGATTATCAGCAGAAGGTGACCAGTGGGGGTGGAAGTAAACACAGAGCCTGATAGGAAATAATTTAATTATTTGAGCAAACATTCCTGAAAATACTGTGATATTTTCCCAGTTCTACTTGTGCAGAAAGAATTAGTTTCAATGATTTGCAGACTATCTTGTAAATAATATCCTTTTTCATTGCTTAAAAATGTGAAACTTCCTCAGGAAGAAATTAAATAGATATTTCAATGTTTATAGATGTAATACTCTTGTCATTCACATTGAATGCAAATTTCTGGAAACATTTTTCTCAAAAGTTTTTTTAAATAAAAAATAGATATTATTCTGATAGTGGCATGGTATCTGCAGTGCAACAATAAACTCTGATAAGAAAATGTAGTGCTGTGTGGAAGTGATTTTTGTGTTCACAAAAGTTGTCCTTTCCCAGGTTTCTTAGCAGCTATTGCAGCTTGACACTGAACTACAACACAATCCAGGAGCACAGGAGCAGCATGAAATGTTTTCAGAAATGAAAAACATTGCTTACTCTCTCTCTGAGTGAGTATTTCTGCTTTATGCAGCTGCTCGTTTTACTGCTTTTGCTTCCTGCTTACTTTTGTATTTCTTGTGCCAGGAATTGGTAATGTGCTGTAGAAACATTTCCAGAGCGTGCTGTTTTTAAGATAACAAGCAGATTTTATTCAAATTATTTGCCTTGGGGATTTGATAGTTGTGCCAATGCATCAGCCTACACAGACATGAGAAAACCTTTCTTAGGAGAAACCTCTAAAGATGGTTTGAATGACCTCTAAAAATTGTATTAATTCAGTGTTATCAACAAATTCAGAACATAATACAAGTTTGCAATATTTACTTGGGCACAAGGTGCTTAGTATCTTCATAGAGGTGTAGAAAATAGGAAACATCTGTTAACAAAATATTCTGTTGATTACAGAGAAATGATGCAGCCTATAGTTTAGAAATCCAAGCTTTTATAACATCTGTTAATAAAATATTCTGTTAATTACAAAGAATTGATGCAACATATAGTTTAGAAATCTAAGCTTCTATAACATACACCTGCTGACTTCTGTAGGCAATTTATCTACTGTCATGTAATGTTTCTTTTCAGTTCTTAAAATCCCAAAGATTTTAGATCTTGAAGGCAAAAGACACTTTTTTGTCTCTGGGGAGAGCTGTCAGGCTGGTGGCACAAAGTCACTATGGGATCTCTTCCAAGATGTTTGACATGTAAGTGTCCTAGTTCGTCCTGGTTCAGAATTACTAGTTCAAATCCTATAACCTGTGTTATTTAGATTAGAGAAATGGGCTCTTTTGCCCTAAAATGGATCTTATTATTGTGTC